AGGCGGCGTCGGGGTCCTCCTCAGAGGCACGGGCGGCAGCCGAGTACTGGGCGTACGCAGCTCCGGTGTAATCGATGTAAGGCGTAGTGGAAGCAGCAGCTGCTGCGGGTTGAACATGGGGAATTACCACTCCGGGCTGGACAAAAGCCTGTGGATAGACATAATGAGCAGGTATCCTGTTGAAAGATGGGAGAGGGAGTTAGAGTTGGTATGCGAGTCAGCGCCTCAGCATCATATCCATACTCCGAACTAAAACAAACTCAATTTAGTTGTTGTTATGTGCATAGGGTTGCCACAATAACTAGGAATGAATGGACCAATTATCAGTTCACTGGTCCGAAGGGATGCATCGCTCCAAAGCACAGCATTATAGCTGAGATAAACAGGAATGCTTAATGTTGCTTCAGGATATTAAGTTTAATGCTATTAAAATGTTTAGAAGGACCAGGATTACTGATGTCTGTTTTAGGACATCTCTAAAGGAGTAAGCTTGATTATTTCATCTGGAAAATTGCAGAATTTGTTTTTCAAAACACCCGTAAGTCATTTTTATTACCCTGCTTCTCACTTAACTACTCGACTCTTAGTAAAATGATTTCCTGCAATACTTTTATTATTAGTAACTGAGCAGTTTGACAGCATCACTATAATGAGTTTGACAATAGCCAATAAGGCGACAAAATGGTTCAACCCTGACTTTATGTAAAGTCTTCTCGGAGAGCGGGGGTGGAAAAGTGGCAACCCTACTTAAGTTGCTATGCAGACTCAGCACACATTAATTTCTCTGCAACCTCAGTCACCCTTATTAAAAATAAGAAAAAAAAAACCAACACAGGCGACAAAGGAGTTTAAATAAAGTTCACAAGTGTGGTAAACACAGCAAGAATCACACTTTCCAAACGAACGATAGTGCAGCTCACTCCGTCACAAGAGGCCATTGAGGGGAAGCTACATAGATGCTATTAAAATCCACAACAGTGACTCCTAAGTACATGTGCATCACACTTTTATAAAAGTTGGTAAGGACACAAGGGTCAAACCTGTTTGATTATCAGGCCACTGATGTCCTGTTTTGTGCCAGCTTGCTTATTTCTATGCAAGACATACAGCATAGAGTTTTTTGGGAGGTGGGCACAGGGTTAAGTCTAAATAGATCTGGTGCTTAACAAAAGCAAAAAAACAAATTTACAGCTTAAGTAGTAACCATTCTGAACAGATCAGTACACACACTTTCCCATCGTCTCCACGTCACAAAACTTGCTTTCTCGGCTTGTTTACTTAGCCCTTCAGTTTTGAAAATTAGTTGTGTTGTTGTCTTAGCACACAAGGCTACATATAAGTTCATCTCATAGTTGTAGTTAGTCATATAGTATGATTTTTTAAAATAATATACTCAATATAATGCTCATTTTACATTCATAACCCTGTCTTGCATCTGGATTTCCACAGAGAAGTCCTTCACATATGCAACTCCTTTCCAGTCAGTGAATCTGTATAAATCTATGAAAAACTGCTTGTGCAGATTTACTATTTCAAACTGAACTTTACAGACAACTCTAAGGACTGCACCAACCTGTCAGTGCACTGTAAGCACAGATGCAAATTTCAACAGTAAACACTGTCCTCTTTTCTCCAAATTCAAGATTTAATGGAAAGGAAGGGGGGGGTGTTCATTTGTTTGTTTTACTGAAGTAGTGAACAAGGAAACATTTAAATCAGAAGGGACACTGACAACTAGATTTATAGCAAAACATAGTTTAAAATAGGCAATAGGCTTCAGAACAGCCTAGTCTTCTTTTAAAAGAAAAGAGCTCAGCTGATTGAATAGGAATATTATCAGAGAGAAATTTCAGTTGCCGCGTTTAAGACATGAACACCACAATCATAAAAACCCAGCATGTCAATGAAATTCATTTCCTACTGTGTGAAAGGAGGAAAAAAAAAAGTGACAAATAGAAATAGGGAAAAGAAAGAAAACAGAAAACAAAACCATAAGTTGGGTTTTTAACACTCACCTAATTTATGAAGTGATTAGCCAGAAGTGCATTTGAAGCACACTTAAGCTGGCTCTGTGTATTTAAATACACATCATTACCTGAGCTCTCCATGCCAACTGGATGAGCACAAACAAGCATTTTGTATTAGTCACCAGTCAAGGACAATCCTCATAAATATAACACCACATTTTTAAAGTATTAAGGAAAGAGGTACACAACCAAATCTGAAGTCACTGAGAGCCTCATCTGCATCATTAAGAGTCCATTTAACACCACATCCAAGGAATCTTTACAGACAGCATTTATGAAAGAGGGACAGTAAGCAAGCTTATCTAGCTGCTAGTGTTGACCTGAACTGATGTTACTAAGATTTTCTGAAGACATTAGGACAGTTGACCGTATCCTTGAACAAGACAGAAAGATGCATGTGCTCCCACTTCAATGCTTGTGACTTGTTTTATTTAAGCCAAGAAACTAACAGGTGGTGAAGTTATGAAACATTATCTGTTTGCCACATCGTACCCTACAATAAACATAAACCCTGTGCAGGCTCCTCACCACCATGCCATTTCACACGTGGTGATTGACAGCATAAGCTGCAGTGGGGCTATTTTTGATCATCTGTCATGCTACAACTGTTTTTGAGTCGAGTAAAATGGCTTTATATGGCCAAAGTAAATTTCTACCTACTGCAGAGGCCAGCACACGGAGACCTCAGCCATTCAGAACCCAGCTGCTTTTCATGCTCTGCCAGGTCAAAAGCTGAAAAAGCAATTCCCAGTTACGCTGGATATCCTTAGTATCCTGAATTTTAAATAAAAGCTGCTGCTTTATTGAGAGTAAGAGTGTGAGAATTATACATGGTTTAAGATTTCTTTCCTGGTAGCAGTTTTTATTTTGGAACATGTATTTACTGGTTTACACTCTTGCAATGAAGGAAAAGGGAAGCCACATTTCACTTTAGCATTAACTGTAGCTTTGGGATATTCAAAACTGAATGACATATGCTCCTGCCATGTGCCTTAAGTCCTTGACTGTTTTTATAACAGAAGATTTGTGTTCAATTAAGACCTCGAAAATAATCCTATAAGCAATAATAAAGAGAAAGCTAATTGTTTCAAGGAAAAGAAAGGACTTTCCAGACTAACGCAGAGAGCTGTGGCATACTGAAATTCAGCAGTAGCAGCACATCATTGGCTCTCAACTTTCAATTCTTGTGAAAGTAGGTATTTAACTTTGAACAAAATATTTTGCTTTGGCTCTTGCATGGCATTGTTTGGTTTTGTAAGCATAATTAAAGAGCAGATTTTCACCAATGCACAGTTTTCCTTATAGCAGAAATAGGTTACATAAAAATAAAGACATAAGACTCTTAATACACTTCCTTTTAAATTTGTGCCTGATGCCATTAAGAGGACATTTAGCATTCTGCAGGTTAACTTCTGACTGTTGAAGCTTCCTTCCCTCTTTCCAGATTATCTGTAGTCTAGTATTATACAGGTATTTTGATCATAAACTCAAGAGAGGGCTTTTCCTTCTCTCTTAAGAAAGGCAGAATTGCTTAACGCTTGGAAGATCACACCAAGCAGGTAGTATCAGTTAACCATTTGATAATTAACTTAATCACTTTGGATTTAACTCTGCTCTTACCAAAAACAGTGGGAATGTTCTCATTTTGATTGAGGTACAATTTTTAGACAGAAAATAAAGGGAAAAAATGTCTTCAACAGAACAAGTCATATCCTAAACCAGTACCTCTGTATAAAAATTTCCCACCAATATTAAAGCAAAAATTACACAAGCAAAATGAGAAAAGCTATCTTAGGAGGCAAAGTCATCTTCCTCCTCTGTAAATTCCTTTTGAATTCAGAGATAGTATTTTAATAAACAATCCTGAAAACAGAGCTGTATAGATAACCAGTCCTGTGATCAAACAGCTTTCTTTGAAACACGCCAACAGTAAGATAGATGCTGAATGTAAAGAGCGGGGAGAAATGCTGTTTGGTGGATGAATTGATCTCTGCAGCACTGAATAAAGAAAAATTCCCAGCATTTTAAATGCTTCATGCATTGAAGCTAATCTAGTTTCTGGCTCACTCCACCACAATAATGTTGTACTTAATTCAGAATATTGTACTTCTGCATCCTCTCAGTAAAAGTAATGTAAATAATCCAATTATTTTCAGTTTCTTGTTTGATAGGTGGGGAACTGTATCAGAACACTGCTGACCATACCAGAATACGGCAGTACCTCACTAATTTGCACTTTGGTAGGAAAAAAAAAACCAAAACCCACAAAACATTTGAATCACCACTACAACCCACTTTACACAGTGTTAGTAGTAAAGTGTACTTTTAGAAAGTGCAACTGCACAGGAGGAAGAAAGGCTTTAAGGTGACCACAGATTTCAGTGCAATCCTCGTAACATCCTCTGAGAGTGAATTCTTCAATAAAAGTAGATTTAAGTAAGCACTGAAACAACCCCTCTTATTGTCAAGGAATATAGTGAATTAAGATTTTAATTCATCCTAATGAATGCTATTCTTCTTAATCTGAACTACATGCTTTAGAAAAGGTACAGGTCACTGGAAATTTTGAGGAGGAAGCAGGATTAGTAATCTCCTTTGTTTGCACACAGTAAAAGAAAGGCAAAAGCCAAGAATTAAAAATGACCAGTTTCATGTATACATGACCCTGTGACCAACATTCCTGTTCTTCAGATGTATATACATTGCATTAGAAATAAAACTTTATTCAGCCTGCTGGAAGAATTTCCCTGACCTAAACGTGATTTACATGATCTATTGTTGGCTCTGGGTAAGGAAAGCAAGAAAGAGCCCTACATTTGCACAGTCCTTCAAGCAAGGGATTGCCACAGGTTCTCCTTTTCTCTTGTGCTCAGCAAATAGTCCCTCCATGGCTGATCCCCAGGTAGTCAGTCCTCTTTGCAAGAAGCGCTTTAACAGCTCCAGAGACTCTGCCTCCTGCCTACCTTAGCCCAGGCATTGTGAACTGATCACTGCCTTTACGCTGTGTGTCTCCTCACACTTCAAAGAAGTCAAACAAAATACAGTAGAGGATAATCGTTAAGAAGTAGAAGAAAAAAAAAAAAAGACAAAAAGTTTTCCACTACCTCCCCACGTGTCTCAGAGGAATCAACATTCTCTTTTAAAAGTCTGAAAAGTTTATAGGAAAACTTTTTCCTACAGTTTTGAGGACAGGAACTGTTTCCTACCGTTCTTACAAATCAAACTACCAGAAGTTATCATTGATTAATAACAGCTAGGTACAATATTCTAAAGCTATTCTAGTCAAATAAACAAAATACATTTGTGACGCGTTTTCCCTACTTTATTGTTAGCTTACTCATTAATTAGCAAAATGCATTATTTTGCAATGAGTTTCTCAGTCAGTGTGCATTAGTGATGTGACACCATATGGAAAGTTTAAAGCAAACTTCACCTCCTAATTGTATGCCTATAAGAAGCAAGAGTTAGATCTACTTAGGAATAGTATATACTCAAGTAAAGGAGAAATGCGCTACATATTAAAGACAGATTGAAGAAAAAAAAATCTCAAATTAGAAAGCCCAAATGGACGCACATTGTTAACAAAGAGCTCCACACCCCCCCCAAGAACAAACCTCCCCAAGAAGTATGAACATGCAAGCAATACGTTGATTTACTTAAAAATCAAGAAGTCACACAATTTAGCACTCACTACAAAATATGGTTAAAAAAAATCACAGGCTACAGCTTGAAAGCAAGGAAAAAAAAAAAGGCCCTTTGCTCCCCATGGCAAAGTCACTCCTCAACAACAAAAACAAAATTAAAGATCCCCCCAAAAAAACTTTCACTAAAGCTCTTTCAATTAAATAAAAGCACACAGTTTAGCTATCAACACCACTTCATTACTGTAACAAATAAATAAATTAAAAAAAAGCACACGGAGGTCTATTGACTATATGAAAAAACATACATGCATCGTTAATCACCATTTTAGCTTGTTTGTGTTTGAGTCTACTGGTTACAGAGTTTAATTCCAAACAGAACTATTCCACCTCTTATCATCATATCCTTCTGATCAGTTATCTTAACTGTAAACGATCCCTGTCAGATTAGAAAGAGATAAATAACATTGAGTCAAGCTGAAAAAAAAAGAGAAATGGGGCACAGCAATCTTGCATCAAGTCGTACCTCCTTGTTTTATCATAGGGTCATACAGGACTGGACTGCTTAGGTGGAAGGGACACGTCCCACACAACTTGACTCAGCTGCGGCATTTAGAACATGACCGACAAGGTGAGCACGTTTAAGGGTATACATTTATAAGTCTGAGAACTTCAGCATTGCTGGTGAGTTTACAAGGCTGCTACTGTAAGAGGCCTTCAAGGATCATACTTTTTCTTTCCTTTATTAGAAAAAATAATTTTCCTCCCCTATTTGAGGTCCCATTGAACAGACTTACCCAAAAGGCCTCTGTATCAGAGCTGGATGAAGCTGCTGGACACCAAAGGCAAAACCTACCAACAAAAACACATCACATTCTCTGTATGGGTGTTCTTTTGGCCACTTATTTATCTTTTATATATATATATATATACACACACACACACGCAAACTCAGAGTAACAGCCTTCACTAACAACCTCCAGAGACGATGTCTGAAAGGCTGCAGAAACACAAATTAGAAAGCGAACCCTATCAGTCCACACATACACACACATACAAACTTAAATCAGTAAAGCAGACACTTTCCTAGAGATGTTTAGAAGAACATCTTTTCCCAAACAATGAGCACAAGGGTGTGCTTACTCACATTCTATTTTGTGCACCATTCTGGTCCCTAACTTTAGCCTCTAAAGGATTGTATGGTACTTTCTGTTCATGAGTGTATTTGTGGACTTTCTACAGACTTAAATTTGAGCCATCTCTACTCATGAGGACTTAGCATGGGGGTCAAATCCTAACTTCATTTCTGTTCTTCAAGCGCCCAAGCATAAACACCTTCTTTCATTGGTGGGCACTTCACTACTCACACAAGTGTTCCTCGGGCAAAGCGCAGCAGGGAAATTCAGAAGAGCCTCCTTTAGAGCACAAACGTGCACGCACTCTGCACTCCTGTTGCTCTTGCTGCAAAGCAGCACTTTGGGAAGTGGCTAGGACATCAGATTGGCTCAGATGTGGTCTTAGGAAGAGCCTTTTCATTTTAAAGTCTGCATAATAGCTCCCATCTGTCTGAGGAGTTTGCATTAAGATATTGTTTGTATTAATAAGACCGCACACATTGGAAGCAATTCATTCCTAGGCCAATCTTTCCCTGCAATGATACTGTAAATGGTCAGCGCCACCACATTCCCAGCACCAGGAATAAGCAATGAAGTGTCTGAGCTGTGGAAGTCTTCCTGAGGAACCGCAGGTATTTTATTCCCAATTGCTTTTAGTTTTTAAATACAGCACGTACACAAAATAACCAGAAAGTTCCTACACGCTGCATTTCAAAACCCAAACCCAAGCACACCTAAACACCAAGTGTACTTCAGGAAAGCACCGCACAGCACCACCTTTTTTTTTTTAAAATAAGTTTTACTCTTCAGAAACCTGAAGTACAAAGAAAAAAACCGCTCAGGGCCCGCTTCCTCACCTGGCTGCATTATCCGCGGCTTGGCCCCCAGGTACGCCAGGTTCACGTTGGCTTTCCTGCCATCGATGATGGGGTTGGGGTCTTTACAAGCCCTTTCCGCAGCGGCTCTGTCAGCCATCGTGACCTTAACAGGCGACGCTCCGCGTTAGGTCCCCCCT